TCCCGCTCTTTTGGTGTTAAACCTCCCTGGATTTTGAAAGACTGCTCTTTTGACATCTCACTGTCTATGCACAAGAAAGAAGATACTCCAAATTACGTCTTCAGGAATCTAATAGCTGAGAAAACCCAAGTATTGGACAATACTGGTTGGAATCTTTTGTACACAGACGGCTCAAAATCTCCTGGTCTGCCTCCTGCTTGTGCGGTGGTAGATGCTACAGGACGGGTTCTTCTCAACCACATATTTCACGAAAGCACTTCAATTTTCATAACCGAAGCCAGAGCTATCCTTCACGCTGCCAACCTTGCCCATAAAAACAAACTCAAAACCGTCATTGTTACTGACAGTTTGTCTGTATTACTAGCTACCCGGAACCCGTCGACTTCGTGATGGAGCACCATCAACAAATTAAGGAATATAATTACTACACCCGACGGAAAAATTAAAATGTTATGGGTACCAAGTCACATCGGTTTACTGGGAAATGAGCAGGCTGATCGAGCGGCAAAGTATGCTGCTTCTGCTCCTCTAATTATTGATGATGTCATGGAAAAGTTGGATCTTCAAAGATACATTGGAAGAAAAGTTAAAGAGAAAATTGCAGAAGGAAATTTACAATACCATCATCAACACTACTCTTGCATTAACCCTCAATTAACTCCACCTCTATATCCAACAAATGTTGAGAAAACCAAGATCCAAACATTTTCGAGAATTCGCCTTGGTCATACAATTGCAACTCACCAATGGATCCTGAAGAAGTCTTCTCCCCCAATCTGCTGTTGTGGACAAACTCTTACTATAAAGCACATTCTCTGCGACTGCCTCAAATTTTCCTTGGCTAGAAGTATTGCATTTGGAACGATTAACCCTTTGTACATTCTACAATCAACTTCAGAACAGAATATCAATTCAATATTTTACTTTATTAATACTACTAAGCTTATTATCTAATATCCATTTTTTTAAATTAGAGCCGATAGCCTGTGTTGCTAGTGCTCAATGTCTCTTTTTTTAGTCTAAGAATTCAATTCATTAGTCTAAAATTAAAATAATAATAATAATAATATTTTAGACCTACAGACGTAAGCTAGGTGTGTAAGTAATGCGTCGACGAATAAGCAAATAAATGTTTTTAATTTAGGTGAAATTTCTAAACATGGCTTATTAGTACAACTAGCCAATCCCCCGTCTGAGCCAACGCGATCGTGAAGCCATTAATGCGGTATACATCTGGTCAACAGTAACATCAACAACATATTCAGCAAACTATGCGCATGCTAATACCCATACCACGTGCGGTATAAGGGCATAAAACTCAGAAGGACCTGAGATAGACCAACGATCGATTCAAGCTCATTTTCTGACTGCCCGTCTTGGTTCCACCTTTTCACCCCATAGCCCTTAATTCAAGAGACTTTTTCTTGAAATTTGGTAAACTGGCGGTATAGGACACGAAACGTAATTGACGCATTGCATTGCTAAGAATATAGCTCGCGCCATTGTTCACACACGCTCGGCTCTACACCCTATAGAAACTACTAAACAATTAGCCGACTTGGTAGCCAGTTGCCTGCATGACACTCCTTTTCGTTTAGATAAATTACAGCGACCCACACATGTGGCCACTAAAACGGCTCAATCTTTACGTATCTTCGTTAACAGTGAGTTAAATGAAATTAACTACGGCATGGTCCTGGCAAATGATTATAGTTAAACGTCATCTTTACGGGAATGTCATTGACGGCTTAGTAAATCCAGTAAAATATTGCGGGTATGATGTTGTCCATGATGGGGAGATAATGCAATCAATTAATTCGAGCAATCGGAAACAACTACATAGACATGTTATTTATCCCGGCGAAGAAGAAATAAAGCGCTACAGTTGCAGTCGTTCGGCAAAACTTAGAGCCGCGGTTAAACTTAAGTAATGGGAATAAAATTTAAATGTTTTAAAGCTTTTCTCACAAAAATATGCTTTAATTGCATTAAGTTTATTGTGCCAGATATATTTGGCAATAATCTAGCAGTGCGGAAATTGGAGCATGTGAGCTTCGTTATTCTTAGTAGCTTTACACTGCATAGAGTAACACAATAGACGGGCCAATATACTACAAGTCTCTGTATTTTAAGAAACACCTCTGTTGTTTTGTGGTATGATAACAGTACGCAAAGAACCCGCCGGCAGTGAATCTGAGCGATCGTATTGTAGCTTTTGGCTGCGATCAAAGGATGGTTTTGAGGGTATACTTGACTTGGTCGCTTTTGCTCTTCTATCATCTAAGTTCCAAAATCTGCATGTAGAACTAACCGATAAACCGAATACAATCACATCTAGAAAAATTAAATTATAGTCGACCCATATTAACCGCATTTCAACAGACGAATAGAAAGAAGATAGAATAGAATAGTTCGTTTAACAAATTTCCTTCATTCTTCTTCATCGGAGTAAATATTCACACAAGACCTTTATTAGCAGAACCTAAACGCTAGACTATTTTCAAATAGCTTTTCTTTGGATGGTTACATGTATTTTTTTCTTAGCGGACAAAGACCATTTTCGGGCTTAAGCTCAATTAGTTTTTTTTTTAATTCTAACAATGATGGAAGATGAGGAAACGTACCTTTAGATTATGTAAGGTACAATTATAACTAAGATAATTTAATGAAAGTTATTAAATTGTAAATTGCTGTCAACACTCTCGCAAGCAAATCAATGTCAATCTTCCAACTCTTGTTTTAAGTGTACAACGCTAACGCTAATTTTACTTTGGGAGCCCTTGGGCTTCTTAATTCTTCGCTCTGGGGAAAAATTGGTGGTATCTGCAGAAAAATTCACAGCTTTTTGGGAGCTCTTGTGCTTTTTACTTTTTCGTATTGTAGAACAAGCACTTCCATCAGTACAATAATCCAAAATTATTTATTCCATCGAGCCAAGATTTCCTACACTATGAAATTGTTCCATACATCCAGTATCGGTTAAAAATGTTGGTTTCTTTACTCGTTCCATTCGTCGATACCCAAATCACCTGTAATAGAAATAAAAACGTTAGCAACTCGTTAGATACTCAACTTTGTACATACTAGAGCAAATAATCTAATCTGCTGCTTAATTTATAAATTATGGCAATTGCACCAAAAACTTTCAAACATGTAACTGACATAACAGTAATACTTCTCCATTTCTATTGCTTAAGAAGCGTTTAGCCGTAAATTGTCGAATGGTTTCTTTGTTCTTGCCAAACAATTCTGTAGGCAAAATGTTTCCGTTTTCTTGTAACAAATGTTTTGGAAAATATGAAAGCACGTTGCAACTGCATTTAAGCCGTTGCGGTCATATTATTTGTCAAAATTGCTTAGGAAGCAATTGCGCTGTATGCTCCCGTCCTGTTAAAAAAAAAAAATTATTCCTTTCTTACATAATTTACGAATTTGGTAACTTGAGAGAGTAATTAAATGAGCGAACTTCGAAACAGATGCAATTAAATATTGTCGGGAATAAGTATACGACAATTGATTGTAACTATCGATGAACACCGGACATTACTTTTATTTTGTCCATCCGTTTGGAACATGTGAACATGTGTGTCTTTGAAGTACATATATTCTCGATCAGCATCAAATTCTAAATTGATTTAAGCATGTTCGTCTGCGGTAAAAATTCGGCAGAAAGATTAGTATTGAAAATGGGTAGAAATCGGTCAAAGGATACATCCGCAATACAACAACAATTTCTCTCAGATGTGACCAAATTCATATACGCTTTTTCAATATTTTCTCAATTGTAAACAAATGCAGACGTTCAGTATATCCAGCGTTACCGTACATGTAACAAATGACAACAGAAGCCACTGACGAGCATATAAACGTAGGTATGTCGTACTTGTTTGTAGATAAATGAAACACGGAATTTTCTAATCTCCTCATTTGAAAGACATCTGAACAGTTCTAACTAACAGTTCTATTTGTATATGAGAAAATTGAAGGATGTGTAGGCATAGAGGTTAATTTATCGTCGATCATTTATATTTCCAATAAATAACTGGTAGTTTGTTTTCATTTGGAAATTCTAAGAATTTCTGACTGATAAAACTCACTTTATTTTGGTTTGTAAATTGGAAAAATCGTTAGTTTGTTTTCTTTGCAAGTTAGAAAGGCTTAAAATAGTATAATTTTGATGAAGATGAGGAAGGAAATTTTGTATTTCACTTCTCGATGAAAATCAAATGGAAACGAAGTGTCGTCAAAAGATTGGTAAGCATGACATTTAAGCATGAATAAGAAATTTTCTACAGCGTTTTTGAATATTTTTCCGTACATCTTTAAGTAAATATATATTTGTTTGCGAATGTTTTAAAAGCCCGCTAAAGGTCGGTGATACCGATGAGACAAGTGAAGGAAAGTATGACGAACGAATTGGATACGGATGCCGCTGACGATATTGGCTTAAATAATTAAAAATCCTAACCTTTTTTTTCCCATTTTTTCACATTTTCCACATTTCTTTTTGTTTGCTTCATGTTTTTTTTATTCCTATCACAGCGCGCCCCCATTTTTCCTCGCGTCCGATTTTGTAGTTACCGCGTCGACCGGTGTTTATATTAATTATCTGCAATTGAAAATATAACTTTTAAATATATTTAAAACCAAAAATTATAATCAAAATATACGTACATTATGCATGTAATTTGAAATTAAGGTAAGAAATCCACGGCTTTCTCTAATTGCAGCTTTTTTCGTGTCGATGCTCACAGGGTTGCTATCGTACTTAGAAGCTGTATTTTTGTGCTTTGCAGCACTTTACTGCATTATAAGTATTAGTGCCATGTCTTCACTGCAATATCTATAAAATTTGAATAATAGTAACTTCCATGTTATTGATGTCCATTAGTTTTTAATGTTATTGAAAGCTCACTAATTTCATCTAATAAATGTAATAAACGGGGAGATGAAAATGCAAAATTGTTCAGATAATATCAATTCTTTGACCCTGTAAAAAATAACGATTAATACATTTACCAAGGAATAATGTAAATATATGGACATCCTACTAATGTGGTAATTAAAAATTATTAGTGCATGATCGTGAAAAAAAATGTTCCATAAAAAATAAATTGATGAATGTAAAAGAGTGGCAATGTTTGTTATAATGAGTTGTAGCCTACAAACAGCAAGGTCGGCCGAGGTTTCTATTAGAAAGTAACAGATACAGATAGATATACACATATTATTTATTATCTATTGTCTATCTGTCGCTATTTTGGCGTTAGCATTGTCAAAGTTGTAAAAATTCATGCTTTAAATAATAGAATAAAGCGGTAAGTTTATTTACTAAGAGAACATATTGAACTTAAAGGAAATATCTTTTCTTGTAATATAGGGAATGTATTTTGTAATTCAAAGTTTACAATTTTTATATTAATGTTTATATATACATGATTTTAGTTATTATATTTCTTGACTAGGTTTTTGTGTATAGTTTTAGTTTTACCTTTGATTTTTAGGTTTTATTATCTCTTCCTTCGTATGGTACATCTGGTATTTCTCACATCAGTTCTTTATTCTTAACTCCTTAGCTCTTTGTAGGAAAGTTTTCGCCTTTTCTAGTGAATATGTTAGTTTAATTTTTGTTTTATTCAAGTAGTTTTCTAGGTTGCATACTGCTGTTGAGTTGAATACCTCTTCGTTAAGCTTATATATGAGTTCGAATGGTGTGTGTCGTGTTCCTACGTGGGGAGTGGTTTTCTAGTAGTAGTAGTAGCAGTGAGGTAGCCATTTGTCCCGTTAGTTGCCCGTCATGAAGGCTAGAAGATATTTATATATTTATTTCGACACTTCCTAATATCTCGTAGTGGTAGGGTGTGGAGAATTTTTGTTCATTTCCAAGTAACAGACATATTTCTTTCACTAGTTGGTTATTGAATTCAGTACCTATGTCAGATTTCATTGTTTTAAAAAATTACGAGGGAAAATTGAGGCAACATTCGAACTCAAGTAACTAAAGCCATAATTTATTTCAACAATAAAAGAAAACCTCTTGTTGATGTGACTATAGGAATATGTTGGAGTCCAAATGTTCACTGAATTATTTGAGCAAAATCAACTCTCAAGCATAATTTCCCAAAGACAAATCCAAGACCTCTACCGCTTCATTACGCAGGACTCAGTCGTGTTGCTTGTCTACAGCTTCCTGCAGGCGAAGAAATTTTTTGGAAGAGGCACTCATAGAAACTGAGGCGCAGCGGTGTATTCATCGCGTTAAGTAAGTATTTGGAATTATATCAAAAGGCAGAAGAATGTAAAAAATCTTCTTCTCTAGATTGTGATCATATAACATTTGTTAACAGAATGCGTGAGTTATTTAAAAAAAGCCACAATTATCAACGTCATCTTAAAATGGTTACAAATAGTTTAAGAGCCACTCAGCGGATGCACTCTCCGTATACCCGGTGACTACAATGCATCCCAATATAACATGATTAATAACTTTTTTACAATTGAGTGTTTGCGTGACATTGTGCCGAATTTGCTTTTGCATAAAATGAACAACATTGATCAACATTGGTTAGTTGCGAACGTATAAGCCATAAATGCTCTTTCACATGTATTGCAGGCATAAGTACTTTTTATCAATATCTATATCTTGTTTTCGTTAGTTTCCTCACTAAAATTTCCCAACAAAATGATGTTCCCTTGCTACCTTTAATGTTAGCTCAATATACAACGTTTCCGCAACGCAGAGTGACGTGATCTCTGAATGTATTTAAGTCATAATAGAGAAGTCTTCGGAGATCGTATGTTATATATAATGCAGTGTTTATTTTGGATGATAATAAACACGACGAATCTGCTCAATGATGAAGTGAAAGTTTTCATATCTTTGCCGATTAAATTATTAATTGATTGCTTTATGGCAGAGACAAACCAACAGCAGTGACCTATTTCAACCTTTGGCAAAACTTTGGCAATTTGTTGTCGTGAAGAAAGTATATTACTTTCAATGGAGGCGAATATTGTTAAGACGATACCTAATCTAGAACCTGTTGCTCGAAACCTACATCAATTTGCTTGCTGTTATTGAATGGCTTGACCTCATTTTTAGTTTCTGTTAACAATTGCATTATTTGTTCTTGATATTACAATGTTTTCTTTTTGTATTGTTGACCATTTCCGACGTGCTTCCTAACCAAGTACTAGATGTATCCACCCCACATAGGATTCAAGGGTGAATTTATTGTTCATAGACTATAATTATTGTTTTACAAAGTAATGAGAGGCGTATAGATACATTGCATGTTTTCGATGATATAATTGTTCGTTTCAATCCATTCTCCTAAGCAGACCAACTTTCAGGTCTGTAAATAAACTAATGCAATATTAAATTCAATATTCTCAGTATTTGGAGATTTCACTTCTAGATGCCTCGCATTAACAAAGTCTCGGGATATTTTTTAGCATGGTCGCGGGTTGCGTTTATTGAAAGCAACTCTATGCTCTCTCCATTGTAAAAGAAACATAATAAATGTATATATATATATATTATATATATATAATACATAATAATAATAAATTATTATACATTTATACGTTTTTATATATATTCTACACTTATACATATTGAAATGAATGAATTTTTGATATGTGGTAACAAACAAACGCATTTGAAATCATTTAGCTGCAAAGAAAAGAGCCTAATACTATCTAATTATTACTCTTCACAGTTATTCAAATAATATCTTCGTACTTTAAAAGCAATCAAAACAAACATGCCGAAACTGCTAGATATGTACAATATGTACAATTTTTTACATATAATACTCAAGAAAACAAATTTTCTTCATGTAACTATCTATCAAAAATAATTTTTATTTATTATATATTTTACACTGCTCAACGATGCTTACCAATGCTTAACAATCTCAACATTGCTTAATTTTGCATAATTTTGAGATGGTTAACAATGGTTAACAATGGTTAACTTCAAAATGCTTGATGAAACAACAAAGTAAGGGAATAGAAGAATAACAGAATTTAGAAAAGAACGAAGTAACAGAACTTTTGATTAATATAACAATAGCATCTAATAATAAAATAGTACAATAATTGAATTCGTTTGTAAATAAAAAGTTAATACTAGATGTGATTTCGAGAGTTGATATGGACCTAAGGAGGTATATCGATAAAATATTGTTGCAATTACTTGAAATTTCTTTAAGAGGTAATTGGATACCAATATCATTTGCGGTCGATGACTGCCTCTGACATAATCGACCACTTGGTAGCTGGTGAGAGTGCTTCACGGGGTCAAACAAGGGGATGCTCTCCCTACCGTCTTGCCTGCTCAGTGCACAATCCGATAATATGTGCCGGTAGGAGAAGGTCTCTTTGGATTCAGGAACGCTTTCTCTCTATATATATTCTATAGCTGTTTTCATAAAAATTCCAACGGAACGCTTTCTCTCTATATATTCTATAGCTGTTTTCATACAAATACCAACGGAACGCTTTCTCCATACACGTTCTATAGCTGTTTTTCAAACGAATTTCAAAGGAACGCTTTCTCTCTTTGATTTGATCTCCGCCACTTCCATTATTGGCGCAGGTCTCAAACAAGACTTGGGTTTTGAAAAGAGCGTGGTTCCTTGTCTTCCCATATATAATATAAAAATGCTTAATGATTTCAGAAACATGGAAAAGTTCGCTGTTTATTGCGCAACATCAAATTGTTAGTAAATATTTTTTTTTACCCATCAACGTTCTCTTAAAATCAGCTAAAATTTTCCTGGACCTGTACAAAAAACTGTATATTTGTATATACAAACATTATTAAATATTATTATATTATTCTTTTAAATAAATAATTGTCTGAATAATCTGAATTTGGTGACAATTGAGAAAGAATAAAAAGAGCGAGTCTGTATTTGGTGACAATTTGTTGAATTTAGAAAAAAATAGTAGTTTTTTCGGAGCTTTCAGGGAAAGGCTTGAGATTTTAAGCAAAAAATTCGTTCAGCTAATTTTTTTCCTCAAACAAATTCTAGTAGACCCCTAAGCACCTATTAAACTAAAAAAAAATTGATTTTCTTAGATCTTACAGGTAGGGAATCCCTTGAGGTATGTTGAACAGAGATGGACTAAGCCAATAGATTTGTGGCTTATATGTCCAGATAATAAACTGTTGTAATTTTTAGTCACGATTATGTATAAAACGTAACAAAAAAATAAGAGCGGCCGTAATAACTGGAGTGAGCATGTTAAATGTAATTGTGTGTGTGTGTGTGCGTGTGTGTGTGTAATTGTGCTTGTTGAGTTCTTGAAAGTTAAACAGTGTTGCAAACTTTGGCTGAAAACGAAAAGCAATGCTATGGTAATAGAAGATTATTAAACGCAAAAACGAAAGAAAAAAAAGAAAAGAGGAAAAAAAAAAATTCTAAAAGGATAAATTAGCTTTTCTAATAAAGCAAGTTAGTTCCCCGAGATGACGTACATTTTTTGCTGCAAAGAGATCGAGGAGACAGCCATATAACTTGAAGAAGTTAAAGGAATCTCTAATACCATCAAGCCTGTGACATCTGAAGATTAGATGCTCAGCAGACTCAACAACATTGCAAATTTCACAAACATCACATGGTATAGCGCGAATCATTTTTAAATAAACTTTGTCATAAGTGTGACCACTCATGAGTCTATAAAGAATTTTGATTTCCCAGGAATTAAAG